CAAGAGCTGTAGGTTTGAGTGACAGAGTGTGAGAAAATGAGGGAAGAGTGAGTGGGGGTAGGGCGAACTGGCAACAGCAAACCTGAATGCACGCTGTTTTCATGATGTATAGTCTGATTATTGCTCATTGTTCTTGAAGGATAACCAGCCTGTGTACACACCAGTGTTGTTAACCTTTTTGACGTGTTTTGATTTTTCCTTTTCCATCGTCGTCGTTGTTATTATTCTGCGCTGCAATTTTCTTTATTTGTGCGGCATCGTTATTAGAGCATGTTTTGAGAGCATGCAAACATATATGTCGCGTCATTAGCAAACCTACCTCATTCCATACTGGATTGAAGTACGCACGTAAGAGCACGTGGTTATTGCCATTGTCTTTATCACTTTTTGCATTAACATTTTTTTTAAACTCACATATTGTGCATTAAAATTTCCTCTTAACTTGGTTTGCATGGCGACAAAACGCCACGAATTTTGATGTTATTGAAATGGAAAAGCGGCTCGATTTCACTATACATGTCAACCGTCAACCAAGTAAAAAGAAAAAGAATAAACATTGAACAGCCAACCGAAATTGCTTTGTGCTGAACAAAGTTACGAAGGACACAAGGACGGCATTTTGTTCTCTCATGCAAAAAAGGATTATTTTTGATATGTATCTTTTGGTTGATGTTGCCATTGTTGATTGTGAGCGGCGCACTGGTCTGCGGTCGTTTGATAAGTATCTACTCCAACTGATTAGTATGCATTTTGTTTGCTATTACGCTGAAGCCATCACAAACATGTGCTTTGTGGTCGTTTGAGGAAATAAATCTGCACATTATCAAATAAATCAACGAACGATGTACTTGCCACTCAAATGAATCATTCGATTGTTCAGTTTGTTGTGTGGTCTTCTTTTCTCTCTCTCTGTCCCATTCTCTTCCTCTTCCTCTCTCCCTCTCTTTCGTAATTGTGTTCATTCGAGGGATCACATCGCGATTGTTTGCATTGGTTCTCGAGTGCTTGAAAATGCGAGCCATCTGAGGATTTCGAAAATCCATCGCAAGTGCCATTCGAATGATACTCACAAACACACAAAGCGCTCATACAATAGACTTCAAGCGATGCGCAAACATTGAACGGAAAAACAAAGAGAGAGAGAGAGAGAGAGAGAGAGATAGAAAGAGAAAGAAAAAATAGCGTTGGAACAAACAAAAAAACCCGCCAAACCGTGAACACTCATAATAGGAAACAAGTCCGATGAGGTGCTTGTAATGAGAAATAAAGTGGGAATTACGCAATTTAACTGTGAATTGATCTCAAAGACGATTTCTGTTTCCATTGACTCGTCTTTTGTGGTGCATTTTCACTAGGAATCAAACTAATTTTCGTTACATGTATTAGTGGTTTTGTGTGGCGCAAACACACAAAAAGAGGGGTATAAACTTCAATCACACTTCAGCTCAAGACTTTGTGAATAATGAATGCACGTTGTGTCTCTTTAGTGAATACACTTTTTCAAGCTTGATTCATTTGGCATGGAAAATGTTTGCATTGGTTTTTCATTGAAGGATTCAGCGATTCACAATAAGTACGCTTCAATTTTTGGCTTTTATGCAAAGAAATCTCTCTCGCCGCTCCTTTCAATGTGATTGAATGAAGTTTAATTTGTATTCACGTCCGGAGCGAACAAAAGATAGAAAAGGGAAAAGGAGAGAGTATCTAATCGAACCGTTTCAAACGGAATGCATAATGAGAGCAAAGCGCGCGCATTCAAAAAATAAAAAAAACATCACAAGCCATTTATTTATGCAGAATTTTTTTTTGCTTCGGCTTTTGAGGTCATGTTCATTCGCAATCTCACATTTTCGTGTCGAGATTATTTTGGCGCATTTCACCATTTGTTTCCGCCTTCCAGTTGTGTTTCAACATCGCACATGAACACGTTCCAACCAGAGACAGAGCGAGCGAGAATTTTGAGCATTCACGTATGCCGAATAACATTTGAATGAATTCAGAATGGATGAATTTCTGGTGTCGAGCTAAACCATAAAAAAGAAGAAAAAAAAAGCAGAAGAAACCTGCACAAAAGTACGCGCTCACACGACGAAAGGAGCAAGGGAAAATGTAGCAAGCAATTCGTATTAAAGGAATCGGTAAATTGATTGGACGACGATATATACAAATTGAGCGAAGCGACCATAGATGTTTAGAAAGCGATTGGATCTCGTCAGAGCAAAAATGGCAAATAATCATCATCATTTGAAAAATGAATATAAAATGACCCATGAAAAGGTTTCATTTGAGTTGAAAACTGTCGAGGAAAAAAACCTTTTTCGCTCCCTTGTTGCCTCGAATTTTTTTTCTTCCGTCAGTTTTTCGGCGATGGAATAAAGAAGAAATTCTTCGAGATCGCAGCAGGCAAGCGAAAGAATTTCGGAAAAGGAAAAAGCGTGTAGCAAATAAAAACAGTTTTTTATTCGACATATTTGATTGTGCAGCATACAAAAGAATGTGTTCACTATAAAAATATTGAGATATTCCCAAGCAACACCAAATTGAATGAAGCCAGTTGGATTTTTTTTCTCTTTGGAAGATGTTTCTTCTTGAAGACCTGAGCAAAAGCTATTGCATTGATATTTTGAGTTTTCTCGTTCTGTTGAATTCTCAGATTTAATGCACAAAAGCAAATAGTAAGAATGAAAAATTATTTCGGTCAAAATATTTATTATTATGGGAGAAAATATTCGTCATTTTCTTTGTGGAATTGCTTTGAACTCGTGGTGCGAGTAGGTCATAGAAATGTGTTGAAGAATCTGTTGAGAAATAGTGCAATTTGAAAGGAAAAACGGGAAAAATAAATCCTCGATTCAATTTTGCATCATCATTTTATTCCGCTGAAAAAGTGAATGGAGTGTTTTTTGGGGATTTCGCCATGCAAATTGCACACACTAGTGACACACATTCCTTTTGCTTTCGCTTTAGATTCCGACTACATCTCGAATTCCACACGAATACAACATACCAAATTTTCTCTCTCTCTTTATGTTATATGCGTTTCTTCCCTCATCGTATGTGCTGTCGAAGCGTTGCAGCTGCGACCGAGAAAAATGTACGATAAAGTACTTGAAAGATTTTGCGAATAAAATCGAAATAACGTTTTTATCTTGGGACTGACACGTACCTTGATTATGTAGTAAAACCACCCATCGATATGAATTTTATATGGCTCATCAAATGGGATTCCGTCTTTTCCCGCCCGCCATTTCCACGGGCTTTCGTTTGTTTTTCGTGAGTTCATTCGACGTCATGTACTTTTATTCTCCCAATTCAATCACAATTATGCAACAGAAAGTTCTCTTCCCTGGTGTGTATGTGTGTGTGTGTGCTTGTTGATATGACCCAAGCAATCAAGATTCAAACGAAAATATCAAATTTGTTTGTCCGTCTGTTGCTGATGATAACTTGTTATCATTTCCCCGATGTGTTGAAAGAGACAGAGTGAAAGCAATTATATGTCGAACAAAAAAAATGCATGTCCAAACTGTCAATGAAATCTGCTCTTTGTTCGTTACATAATCATTCACAACGTGATACCATTTGTTTGCTGTGATTAATTATATAGAATTTTGCATTTGGTTCCGAAATGAAGACATGAACGATTTGACGATTGCCACGATGAATGTGACAACGACAATTGAGTTGTAAATGCGACCCCTCTCAGTGACATCCCCATAATTTTCGTACGAGTAAATTGAAACCAACATTATAATTCATTGCCAACAATTTGTATCACGTTGAGCCGTACGCGCTCTTTTATCACACTGTTAATGGACCAGCCAGTCACATTGATGCAAAAAGAATATATGCAATCAGATAACGGAATGGCTGAATCTAATAACATTCGATTAAGATACATGATCGGTAGAATGGATTTCGATTTCGACGATTCTGAATGGTTTCAATACAATTTCAAAGAAACGAACATTCGATAATGGCTTTTCGGAGATAGTACTTTGAATATTTCAAGCTAAAACGATGACTGGACAAAGTGTTAATTCTCATCAATTGTCACGTTTAAATAGTTTTCAAGTCTTCGTTGTGTATTCAATGACAAATGTGTTGGTCAATGTTTCAATTTAATTACCCCAAACTAGGCAGTTTAGGCTTTTAATTAAAAGTTACCTTTGTCATACGCGTTTGGTAGGTTAAGGAAAAGGTCGAAGCATGAATGCTTACCCGGATGAACGCGATAGGCGTTGATGAAAGCCAAAAGTCGTCCGATGAGGCTTCCATAATTTTTATGTACATTTTAAATACCGAACGCCTAGGCTTTCATTGCTATTCTCACTTCTTTCGTGCATTCATAGCAATGAACGCTTAGCATTTAAATATGTCTCTTTAAAATGTACATACAAATTATGGAAGCCTCATCGAACGACTGTAGGCTTTCATCAACGCCTATCGCGTTCACCCGGGTAGACTTCAAATTTGTGTATGGCTGAAATCAATTGACAGGTTAAATCATGACATCCAAGATAAATCCATTTAATTTAAAACACTACATGGTAGTTTCGGTCACAAACCCATTGTGTACTCTAACATATTTACTCAGATTATCGATTATTTGAACTCCGTGTACAGATATAACATCATTTCACCGTTTATGAATATTGTCTTGGGCCAATAATATTGTTCCAATTTTTAAAAAAAGAAGTCATAGAATTTGTTTTGTTCATTTATTTCCGGTAGTTTATGTTTATGATGCTTTTAAAATAATAACGGTTGACATTGACATTTCTTGGACTTTAAGTGTATTAGTGGAAAATTAGTTCTGGGAATTCGTTGAAGAAAATTCCAAAGAGCTTAATTATATTTTTGTTTGTTTCGATTGAATGGAAAACTCACTCAATCGAATTCGAATTGTAATTATAATTTACCCTAAAATTTACCATTTCCGCTTTCATTTTTGGTATTAACATTGAAATTTTCTAACTCGTTCCATTGTTTCGTTTCAGGCAATACAAACGGCAAAGAGAATTACTGCTTGGCTGTTCCCGTTTCTAATTGATTTCATCGACAAGGACCCAAAATTGCAACGACGAACACACCGCAAAATGATATTACCATTGAAACCGACCGGTTGAACTCTCGAAACAACAAAAATGAACGGAAAGTTCAAGTGTTTGATAACAAAGAGTCGACAAAGAAAAACAATGTATTAAAGTGACAAACTAACAAACAAACAAAAGACTTTTAAGAACTTGAAATTGACTTTTGAGACAATTGAAAGCGAGCACGCAAATGTTACCAAAAATGAATAAATTTCTACGGGTTTTCAGTGTATTTGGTGTGTTTGTGATGGCGATACCATTTGCTCAACAGTCCGACTGGCTGACGGAGTGTAGTGTATGCAAATGCAAATGGAATTCCGGTAAAAAGACGGCCGACTGCAAGAATACGGCAATCACCCGAGTGCCGATCGGTTTGAGCGTTGAACTACAGGTGCTCGATTTGTCCAATAACTTTTTACCGGAAATTGCGTCGTCCGAATTTGCCGCAGCCAATCTACGAAATTTACACAAACTATTCGTACGAAATGCCACATTAAAGCAAATTAATCGTGACAGTTTGAAAGGTTTGGAGATCCTAATTGAATTGGATCTATCGTATAATCTGTTGGAAGTGCTACCGCGTAGTGTATTCAATAATTTAGTTAAACTGCGAGCCCTTATGCTCAACAACAATAAACTGAAGCGACTGGAGGACGGTCTGTTTCGTAATTTGAAATTTCTCCATAAAATCGAATTGAAAGAGAATCAATTGATGCACATTGAAACGCGAGCATTCACCAATTTACCCGTACTGACGCAAATCTATTTGGATGGCAATCAATTGACCGTTCTGCGACGCGAATGCTTTCAGCATTTGGAAAAATTGACGGGTCTGTCATTGAAACAGAATCCATGGAATTGCACGTGTGAATTGCGTCCATTTCGGGATTTTACGTTCGAACAAAATTTGTATACGCCACCAACGGACTGCTTTTATCCGGAGAATTTACGTGGTACACTGTGGACGGATGTACCACTTGAGGCGTTTGCATGTCGGCCTAAAATTCTATTCCCATTAATTGGCGAAGCAACAATTAGTTCGTATAGTGAGAATGCGACCATAACGTGCCGCATTCATGCGTCGCCAAACACTGTAATTACCTGGACTCATAATAAACATGCGCTGAGCAATTATCCAAAGCGAATTTTCATTAAAAACCTATCGGAATCAGCGAGTGCCCATGACTCAAGTGAAATTATCACATCCGAATTGACAATTTTGAGCGCGCGTCGAACTGACGAAGGCATGTACACGTGTACAGCACAAAATGTTGGCGGCAAAGCTGAAATCGATATACAATTGTTGGTAGGGCGTGATGGTAACGGGATGCTATTTATAACGAATCAAATGCTTTTTGTGTTGTGTTTAATGGCCGTGGGTCTGTTAATAGTCTCTCTGGTTATTATGATTGTTACCTGTTGCTATTGTCGCAAATTCAAAAATCTCATTAAACATGATTTGGACGATGGCATGAATGGCATCAGCCTCGGAGCTGATGGCACACTCAATGGCACTAATGGAAAAAAGCATTTCCAGGCGATTAAATTGAATTCATTTAATAATGCCACCATGATTGGAAACGGAAGCTGTGTTGTGGGCAATACAATGGTTGTTAACGGCATCGACGATGACACCGATGCCGATGTGATAGCGAATAAAAACGGTGGCATTAAAATTACCAACGACTCGGATATGGAGAAATTTGCATCGATCGAATTCAATCGTACAAACATCAAATTGGATACTAGATCGGATACAATTCGAGCTGATACACACGACGCCAACAAATCGCACATCAATCTAAGCGATAAAAAATCGGATACGTCAGGTGAGTTGATATCCATTTACAGAAATCATATTTTGCCACGTTTGCTCTTTGTTTTCACTGGTATCGTGGTCACTATCCATTTTCTATTGTGCACTGAGCTTTTGAAATGGCTTTGGGGCATTTTATGGATTTCGGTTTTGCTTTTCTTTTTCTAACTATTGTTGGTTTTGTGTGAGTATATCGGTTTTCATTGTTGCTACGTAAACTGACGCTCCATTTACGAAATCCAATAATAGCTTTTTTGATACCATCGAATTTATATAGCATTGCTGGCAGCTACCGAATGTTTTCATTCCATTTGCAGTTCATACATAGCAACTAGTCTATGCAATTTGCAGCGTGAAGTCAGAAAAAACCATTCGATGCTATCGATGCAGATTAAAAATTAGTTTTATTTACTAAAAACCACCGAAAATTGGCACATATGCAATGAAAAGTGCATTAAAATGAAATAACAAAAGAAAAACACGTTCATTGTTATTGCGCTGACTAATTGGAGCAACGTATATTTGCACATACATGCATATGCTATATGCTATATAAACATGTTTTACGTAATTTTGAGAGCATGCAGCTAATTGATTCGATGCGATTAAGCAAACCGAGCGAGTTTAAAGATAACGCCCTCTTTGTAATTAGTTTTTAGCCGTGAAATTTAATCGGTTTCAATTATTAACGAAGCCCTTAATTGATGTGAAACATCAAATTTCTGATGATTACAATACCAACAACCATCTTCGACATAATTGAAAACCTTTTTCCAATCGAAAGTCTATTCGTGTATTCCAATCAGAGGTCGCAAATTCACCACTGATCTTTCTTTGCGCAAGAAGTGGGATTAAATCGTAAAATCGATCAATATTTAAACTAGAGCAAGAGCTGTAACTTAACTGAAAAACCGATTTTCGAATTAATTTCCCAAGCGCATCAGCCCCAAAGCCTTCAATGGAAATTGCATTGAATTCAAAATATGTGCATAACAGGTTACATCGTAAAGTAATCAGAAACTGTTTTGGAAAAACCAGATTGTGGCAGAAAAAAAGCAGTTGAAGCAGCAGCAGCAACAACATCTCCGGCTCGTTTATCTGTGTGTATATTTTCGCTGTGTGTGAAAATTAAATTTTAATCGAATTATGCAGCGCGCCAGAAATTAAATATGCAAACCACACAATCTCATGCAGATTCGTGGCGTTGATTGAAATTTTCAACTAGTTCTCGTAAAACGAGCACCACGAACAAATGAACGCACACTGTACACCGTACGGGCAAAAACTAATATCTTCACTTTTACAAAATACGAAAACTACGAGAGTGAATTTCAAATTGGTTTTAATCATGTGTGTATTTTGTCTCTACCCCCCCTCTCTCTCTCTGTCTCCCTTCTATTTCAGATGTTCGATTGCATCAAATCGTGTCAACGTCGTCAAGCGGTGGTGTCATTGGATCACCGAGTCGTCAAATGTTTGCATCGTCCAACGAACAATCACTGCATCATCAACAGACGATGCAACGGCATACAGACTCACGTCTTCCACCCGATCTTCTCGCGTACGGCCAACATCAATCATTAGTTTCACAAAGTAGTTTAAAGAACAGTAGCAGCAGTAGCACCGGCAGCAGTACATCGACAGCAATCTTGGACCATCGAATTCAAACCACACACAATGGCAATAACAGCAACAACAACAGCAACAGTAGCGGAAGCAATCGCTTTGCTTTCGCCTTTACCGACGATAGACTGAGTGAGAATTTGGACGACGACGATGACGATGTAACGGATATGCAACAATTATTTGTGCGTCATACGCCCATCGAAGAGCCCGACCTAAGAATTTATCATAACGATAATGTCATAGCAAAAACGAGCAAATCATATGCAAAATTAAATTCACCATCGCCCACGATATCAACACATTCCATGATGTTGGCAACGAATAAATTAACAGCTGCCAATCCAACGCATCGTACCACAAATATTTATGAATTAACACCGGCATCGACCATCCTGAACACCAACTACAGCAGCAGCAGTAGCAGCAGCGCTGGCGTCAGCAAACACTATTCAACCAACAAAACAAATCCATCGAAAACGTCAACGCTGCAGCAAATGCATCCCAAAGTCACCAAAGTTATAGATAATGATAGCGGCATAAATTGTAAGCCACGACAATCAGTTGTCCGAACATCACCGTCATTCAGCTTCCTGTCGACCGGCTACAATCAACAACCAGATAATTTTCTATGATGCTTCGGCCAATTGTCCAATTTTGTAACTGTTGAAACAAAATTTATTGTCCATATTACCTTTTAAATGTAAATGCTCAGCTCATTCCGTATTGAAATGTAAAAGTTTTACCGGATTTTTTCTTCTTCAAACAATGAATTGAATGAATAATAATTTTTAAGTAAAAAATGGGTATTCATTCATTAGAGGCGGCTGTCATTTTACATGGATTGATTGAAAAATATACATATTTGGGGCAACAAAACAAATGAATATACTATTTTTTTCGGTGGCCTTTTTATCTCTTTTTCTCTTCTATATTTGCCGTGATCTGAACAGAAATTAAATTAATCCTGAATTGCTTTTCGCCGTTAATGGCGTTTGATTGCATTTTTGTTACATTGAGTTCGGAAATAATTCAATGTAAAACAATGGATGGGAAAAAAGGCAGCTCTCAACAGAAAATCAATATATATATTTCCTGTTACTATTTCTGTACTACCTTCTGCCTGCCGCTCGCTCGAATTATATGGAAAAAGTCAAAGCCAATGAAGAAAATAAAAACGAATATCTGTGCGGAAATGGAGACCGGTAATAACTTGAGGGCAATAAATGTATGACATTCCAAACGTATTCATGATTTACAATTCATTGTAATTAGTTGCAAGCTGCTGGCTAATTGCTTACTAATTATTATTATATCAAAGTGATTTCAGTGAAATAATTAATGAAATCCATGAATGGGATTGAACATGACCAGGAAAAAAGAATGAAAACCAAAAATCCCATGTTCAAAAATAAAAATATATCGAAATTCCAACGCATGAAATGGTTGTTCATATTTAATGAGAGAATGAGGTAAAAATGTTTTTGTATAATTCATGTGGTGCAATCGACCAAACCAAAGCTTCGACCAGACGTTGTTTTTTTTATGCCCGTTCGGGCTATATAGTTAAAATCTAATGGGACATAAAATTATAGCAAACAATTTCGCCCGGAAGGCGATTACAATAAACAATGTCGTTTTTAGAAGCAAACACGTCTTTTTTTTAGAAGCACGTTATTGTGCTGTAACATTTTCATTAACAATTTAAAACGGGCTCTCGGAAAAAGATCACACATTTGAACTATATGCAGTTACCAACTAGAATCTCTCCGAAATCATTTCATTTCAAAACACATAACAACAACAACAAAAACTAAATTACAAAAAAAAACATTAACCAAATGTAAAGAAAATTATTATTAACTTGGATGTGAAATTTGTTTTATATTTTATGGAAGTGTACCAAATTAAGAGGAAATATATTTAATGGATATTTTAGCAAATAATTCTAGGTAATAATGTGTTAGTTTAGAACAAATAGCTCTAAATTAACTTGAATAAGTAAATAAAATTTCAACAACAGATAAAAGGGGCGGCTTCTGGATGTTTTGTGTCGATATTTCACACATCACAAATGATAGGTGTGATTTCATGGGAATGTATTTCAATGCACGTGAATCGAAATCAACTGACAAATAATAATCAACAGGAAAAATCTCCCGTGCAAAAACCAATAACTATTTGAAATATGAACAATTTTAAGCGAGCTAATTGAATAAAATGGCTCCGCAATACGGCTGAATGTGTCTAGGTAATGTTTAGGCGTGTTTATTGAAAATCGTTGATCCATTATTATCAGCAGTAATTACAACAACTCTATTGAAAACATTTTATTAATTCCATAACCGAATGTGTGTATGTACCATATTTATAAATTCCAACAGCCCACAACAACAACAACATTTACCGCTAGTAAAGCAAAGTAATTACTAATAATAGATAAAAGGGTTTATCAAAAATAACAAACACAAAACATATAATTAACCATATTTACATAGACTGTCATTAAAAACTAAACAACATCCTTCAGCTAATAATAATCCAAAACAATTTTAATAGGGACAATGGTGAAAAATTGAAAATGGTTATGCATGGAACAACTAGTTGAATTATTCAAATGTCGTCACAAAACAGAAAACAGCAACAACTGATAAACGATGGGATCGAAAGGAAATTATATTGATCGAAAGCCTAGTGTAAATACAGACAAATTATATATGACTATTATGTGCGATGTGCCGTGAGTAAAATTATGATCGGATTTTTTTTTTCGTTGGAAATGTAATGACATTAAAGCTCTTCAAGGGTAACACAACTTAAAACTCTAAATTTAGGTTGAATTCTTCCAAGATTTGCTATGAATCCAATATTCATCACTTCCAATTTTATCACAGTACCAATTTATCTTGTTATTCGTCGAAGAAAATCATCACCAATTCTATTGTATCCCACTTTTAGTCCAAAAAAAAAGAAGAATCCAAAAGTCAAACCGTGTTTTCACGGAACAAATCAAAATTTTGCTCACGGTCCATTCCAACTAATTGTACTATAAACTAATTGTAATGAGATTTTAGTTGTCAAATCCGACCCATGATGGGTATTTGCATTTTAAAATTGGAAAAATGGATTTCTTTTTATACACATACAAAAATCTATGGAAATATTTAAACTAATTTAGCTATATAAATTTCATTCTGTCAAAAGAGCAAAGAATTAAAGAGAAATAGACAAATTACAATTGATGGAACAACAACAACAAAGAAAATATACTGTTTGATTAGAGATTGGGCTAATTAAATGATGTATCTATGATATCTAATGTATAAATAAAGAAAAAAAATGTTCAAAGTAAAAACGGTCGTTCGTTTGAAATTTGTCGAAAAAAATTCCAGCTGAATGTAAGAGTTCCTGTGTCGACTCGGAATAATGATTAATAATTCGCATTGTGGTAAGTAGTTGTACGGTATGAACCTTGCATTGAAAGTGGTGAATTTGCTGAAACCACAAGGTAATTAAAATGGACGTGCCTAGTAGACAAATCGTAGTGTGAGTGTGTTCCAATGTGTGAAAATCGATTTTTCAGCTTGAATCCCCAATCTAGATCTGGGGCAGATTCGGCAAATAAATCAGCTGTACGAATTTGTTCGGTGAGTCGAGTCAACGTGAACGTGAACGTGTTTGCACAAACACTCTCCGAGTGTCTGTTCAAATTGGGGTTTCAGTTGTCGTTTGAAATAGATGACCGGCTTGTGAAAACCATAAAATATGCAAACTACATAATCTTCGGTTGCCTGCAAATCGAATTGTAAAAGTTAGGAGCTTAAGACTTCTCTCGGAGCTTGGGTTGTTGCTGTTGTTTTTTCCTAATGTCAAAACACAATGAATTAATGATGTGTAACTGGATGTGTGTGTGTGCGGTGTGTGGATATGGGCAATGAGCCAAACAAAAGCTCACATCAGAGTCCAATTCGAAATAGGCCAGACAGGTGATGGCTAAAGTGGTTTTATTTATTCGATTCGAATGCATTCTATTTTCAGTTGGATCATTTGCAATGAGGTAAGCATATGTACCGCGCACATCATAAAATCGAAACAAAGTTTATTGGTTGGAACTTTGGCCCAGCAACAACCGTGTTGAGAAGAAAGAACGAATAAAAGCAACGGTAAGCGAGTGAAATTTGCAACAATATAGGAAATAAGTTACTAAACTAAACTAACTCAATTCGTCCCAAGCAATTTGCGATTGCGATGTCATTGGATTGTTTTGGTGTTGTACAAAATGAACGACAATATCTCTCTATCTTTCGCTTGGTTCTCGTTGTGCGTTGTGCCCTGCACAGCACCGAAATCGGTGGAGCACTCTTCGAAGACGGAAGCACTCTCTTAGACACATTCTTCGCACACACATAAACACTCACAAAACGGTTGAGTAGCATGTGAGCAGGTACTTTATTTGATTTATGCGCTTTTGCCTGGGTGATAAATAATATATTATATTTTTATTATTACATATTACGGTTTGTAAGTACATACGGCTTGTATGCTATCATGCTGCCACCTCGGTAACATACACATATCGGATATTGAGAATGCGATAAGCAAACGAATCTGACTTAATAATATTGTGTGTTGTTTGGTGTGCGCTCACGTGGCAATAAAGCAGAGACAATTCCAAGCGTTTGAACCTACAAAAAAACAGCGAAAGCGAAAACAGGTGAACAGTGCGATTTTTATTGCATGTACCAGGGAGCTTTAGTTGCTGCAAACATGCGAAACAATGGGATATGTTCAATAATAATAACAGAAGTTTTCATACTGATGAATATTTATCTTGACGTGGTAAAATGTGGTGCGTTTTGTAAATGGGTGAGTGGGCGTGCGCGCGCGCTAGAGAGCGTGAGTGAAACAACACAACACTCAACATGATAAATGCACGGAAATGAAATCGTATTTTCGATCGTCAAACCTAATGTGTGCGCCATTCAAATGTTTTATAGCAGAAAAGTTTCGGTCTTTGTTCAATGCGAAATAAATTTAAGTACCTTGAATCGGAGACAATGCCTAAGATATATACGATATATATAGTATAAATTCAACGTAGCAAACCATATATCGTCGACGAAACACACAACACAAATGGTGGAATATATATTCCCATAATTACGTGCACGTATAGAAAATGGAATGCATTTCATTATGACTATGACTGTGTTGCTTCTTTTTTTATTTATTATATATAAGCCAGTCGGATGGATGTGAAAGAATCGAGTGTCAGAGTCGTCATTTTCGTGAATGAACTGCCGATTTATCACTTGTCGTCGTCGTCATCTTCATCGTTTTATGTTTTCACTGCCATTTCAAAATGTCGCAACAATCACTTTCGTTTGCCTGCTATTATTGCCACTTGACAAAAAAAAAACCTGGGTGCTCTGAATTCGTAGCTTTCGTATATCTTCAAGATGCCATTAGGAAAATGCTTCCTCAATTAAATAACCATTTGGTTAAAAGTTTTAGGATCTTTTGGAAAAAGGTTAGTCGGTTTATGGCCCGAAATCTCTCCGAAAAACTCTTCTGCCCCGCCATTGTGCGCAGCAACGGGCTCTCTGTGCACAGACTTTAATTCGATATTAATTGTTGAGCAGTTTTATCAAAAAGTTTTGATGAAGAAGCTTAAAATTGTCGATCAGACGGATGCAACAATTTTAATTTTACCCAACACGAAATCACTTCACCGCACACTATTTACTCGGGAACTTTCGAAACAATGTCGACTATTTGCATCTCAATAGAAAGTATATAAATATATGTATATTCCAGTTTTTGTAGTGTTCCTTCATGTTTATAATACTTGTGGCATTTTAAATTGAAGTTGATCCGCACGGTCTTTCGCTATCCCATATGAGAAATGATGAACATGGCGAGCATTGTGTCTCTGTAGAGAGAAAAGTCCATTGTTTATCCATTCCAAGCATATGCTAACTTTCAAAGATGCAAACACTACGAAACAAATCATCGCAAAAGAGTGTGTGTATAATAACAACTATTTTTCGTTATCTCATGAATTGTTCATTTTGTGGAATGTCCCTCCGGTGACTATATTATTCTAATATTTTCATCATTTGTCATCAGAGAAAGAGAGATAAAGTGAAACTGGGTCGAATCGATTCATATGCTCATATTTTGTTACACAAAAACACCAACCGAATGGCAATATCATTAATTTGTTTTATTTTGGAAACGCTGTTGAGCTGAGCTGCGCTATGTTGAGCTTAACTTTCTATGAAATCAAATACAGTACACTGTCAGGATTTTCAACATTTTTGTGTTGGTATTTCTGGTAATATCTCCGGATCTCCGTTAGAATACATACACACACAGCACGTCTGCGTTGACAGTTCAATTTTGACGGAGATCCGGTAATATAGTATGAAATTCACGGATTACCGTGAATTCCGTATATTACCAGAAATACTAACACAAAAATGTTGAAAAGTTTTGACAGTGTAGAGAAAAAGAGAAAGAATAAGCAAGTGTATCACAACACACAAACGCAAAAGTAATCCCTCCTCTTGTAGTCTCAGTGGCATTAATTTCGCTTCGAAGATGGCATACATCATTGCTGAAATGCAAACATCAAGCCTTTATCATATGTATCCAATATATCCAAAAGGCTGACACAGAATCGTTCCAATTCACACTCTACTACTTCTTCTTGCGGTTTGTGTTGCTCGTCTGTCCTCCGATTTGCATCATTTCTGCTGCGTCGACACTAAATATTACATTCGTTTTTCCATTTTAAAATATCTACATATATATATAACTGTATCTCATTTCGTTCCTTTGTTTCTTTAATGACAGCTATCCTCATCATGGTCTTTCACGTGTTCAAAACATTGTATTTCTCTTTCTTTCCTCGTTTGAGCTAACGCTGACCACTGTTCATTTAATATTCATCGGCATTCGTTTGAAAACCTTATGAAATCGGTTTTATCCCCCAATCGGTCTCTCTCCCTATTCAAGTGGTAAATATATTAGAAATATTTCAAGAATATACTGTTCTTCGAATTTGTCATTTTGATTGAAATCGTACAGTCGATGTATGTCGAATTGTGTAACTTGTCACCATGTCAGCAACATCAATTCCATCCGGCTAAAATTGTATGGCAAATTCTTCGGATATCATACATATTAAATATTGAATGAACATTTGGGGCAGCAGTATAAAATGAACTTATGACGACTTCTAAATGGAAGCTTACACAAATACATGTTCATTTGTCTAGTAATCAAGTACTTTTCATTGTTACATATTTCAACAATTTTCGGAGAGCTTACATTTACAGTAAGTGACAGCTCAAATTTTTGGCACTTTCATTCACATAATTTATACATTCTAAGCAAAGTGACCGAATTCTATTTATATGTGGATGTTGCATGAGATTGTGCAAATAGCATTTCTAACGACATCATCTGCGTGCTCGGACAAAATTCAATCACAATTTCTCGTACATTATATGGTAGAGCAAATGAATTTAATTATAGCAATCAAATGCATAAGTTATCACAAATATGAAATTGTTGCATACATCATTTCTCGATTCTTTGCAAATGTATACAAGGATTCAAATTGCATGCCGTTCTTCATTACATTTATTGAAACGTTTCTGTGTTCTCGAAATGGGTTTTCTTTTTCTCATTCAAAATTTCACGCGATTTCTTTTTTGAACAATATATTTCAGGTTCCCATCGGATAGTATGACGAATTTCAAATTGATTTTGAACAAAAAACAAAGATTGATCGAAACTTTGTCTGCGTGGCCTCCTCTTGATTCGCATCAACAGATGAAATAGCAAAAACGGCATGAAGTGGTGGAAATTTTGCAGATACATTTTGCGTAATAAAACGAGATGAGCGTTCAAGCTTGAAATGAATGAGTGTATTGTTAGCTTCAAGTAAGCTTCAAGCGAAAAATTCAAACAAATTACGCAGGTGTGCTCACAGCATAAGCGAATGAGAATAATGACAGCTGTTCAGAAAGATATTCTTATTACTGCGTATGTTTGAACCATACAGTTGAATGTAGACGTCTATTCATCTGTGAAATATGTGGATCATGCTAACGGTACACAGCCAAAACCTAGACTATTGTCAGTAAGTAAGTAAGTTTGTACAAGCAAAGGCAAGCACTTGACGAAACGTTTGTGCTCATATAGTATTGATTGGAATACTTCCACGTACCGAAATATGTTTGTGAATGTGTCAAATTCTGCAAAAAATGTTATTTTCTAGCAAGTTGAGCATGTTTTTTCCCCGTAAAAATATATTAACAGTAAAAATGGAAACATTTCCGATGT